ACACTCACAAAAAAGGATATCTTCTGAGTGCTTAAGCAATAGATAATTTTGGGAAAAATGTTAGAGTGTCCAAATTCGTTTCTCACTGAAAAGGTTTAGAGGTGAGAAATTTCTTAGCTAAAGTTTTCTAATGTTTAGCTCCATCTGATGGATAGTGATATTTAGTCGAAACATCATGAGCATCTTAATTTAGGGATCGGAAACTAACACCAACCAAACACAGTTAGATAAATTGATTTACAAATACACACACACAAAAACTCTGGGACTGCTCAGAGTAAGAAGAGATCCTGCAAAAAGCAGGACATCCTCTAATAGGAGTTAAAGCTAGTGAAATTTAATTCCTAAACTCAAAATATAAGTATTAGCTAAGAACTCAGTAATAACTGAAAGAGAAGGAAAAAGGGTCGAAAAAAGTTAGTCTTTACCACTCTCTCACGGTCTTAAGCAACCGATGACTGACAACATTAATGTTTTGTAGTAAGAAAAACGACAAAAATTCAAAGTAGGCGTATTGTAGAAGGAAATAGAAAACCACTGAACCTCAGAGTGAAGTTTTATATATCAAATGAAAATATTTTATTATGACAGTAATATAAAGACGTAAAAATTTTTGTTTAAAAACTTCTTGAAAGATTTGTTTGTTTTAGTGTTAAACCACACTGGGCTATCTGTGCTGTATCTGCCACAGGGAATCGAATCCCGGATTATAGTGATGAAAGTCTGTAAAATTACCACTGAACAACCAGGAGATTTCCAGGAAAATATGTACAAAACATTTGATTTTAACAAATGATTAGTATAATTTACAACCTTGTACTGAATCTTTTATGGATTGAAAGCTGCATAGCATTTTCTTTCTAATTTCGAAGTTAATTTGGAAATTATATTTTAGAAATAAACCCTAAGAAGAGTTTAAGCTGGTTTTAAGTAATTGTTTATTTGAATTTGGCACGCGAACTGCCCCTATGGTGGAGCTCCAGGTTTTGAATCCGTGCAACACCACAAAGTAGTTCCAGCACTTTACGTCATAGATGCGTTATAAGACTTGGTAGGTTTGCAAGAAATATAATTATAATTTCTAAGTGGTTTTAAGTCCGTTTTACATCACCCAAGCTGATCCAAACTATGGTGATGAGCCTTGAATAAGCGAAACTGCAGTCCACAGCAGAGAGTACGGCCAACCAAAGAATGCATAACTAAAGAAAATAAATCAAAAAAGGAAGTCAATGTAGAGATGGCTAATATCAACCCTTGAAAAAAATGACATCCCTACTATCTTTTTTTGCATTGTTTTTGAAGGATTAATATTATCCATCTCTATATTTATTTCCTTTTTTCAAAAGTTTTTCCTTTACTTGTTTGCTTGTTTTTTAATGCAGTGTTT